GCTTTGGGTGAGACACTGTGTTAGATCTAAACTTAACTGCAGAGATTATGAACTCAGTGGAATAGGAAGCGGACATTGTAACATCACAGCTTGGTGAAATTGTTGTCAAGTTGATGGGAATTATTGCGGCATAATAGTGAAATAAAAAGCCTTTTCCTGGGGGAAAACTCTGATTATATGAGATAAACAGGCCAAACACACCAATTTGAATTATATTCAAGCTTAAAGTTATGCATAATGAAGGGAATTGCTTTAAGTGACAGTTGGACCACAGCCTGCTTGTTGTCACCAGCTAATTCAATCACCCAACTTAACATCTTGGCCTGTTTTGTTGGTTTCTTTTATGTATTTATTGTATGCAAATATTGAACAAAAAATGTGGCTAGCTTGGTTTATTGTCTTAACAGTCCTTCATTCAGTCCAATCAGTGATGCAATTTGTTTGGCTTATCTTCTGTAGTCTGGTAATAAAAAACTGGTTAGAAACCACCACAACAACAATCTTCTTTCGTGAAAACAGAATTTTTGACCAGCAATTTCTTAGCTAATGAATTAGCTGACTAAATAGCTTCGTCAACTTTCTGACTGCTAACCCCTTTCTCCAAATATGTTCACTTCTATCTCCAGAAAACCAACATTATGGCACCAAAATGCCAAACTCAAGGCTACTAAACAGTCGACAAAACCAATGGATGATTCTAAAGCGGTGATGTAAATTATTTATACTGTCTATGGGCTGTTAACAAATATGTTATTCACATGGAAGAGTGTACAACAGATTGTTACTGATAGCTGTTCTCGTCTCACACTCTGCATTGAACAAATTGAACTATTGCTTTAAAAGGTAGCCTACTATCTGGGGGCCTAGGGCACGTGAGGCTTTGGGAAGAGTCTGCTGCATGGCTGCGTGTGAAGCATGTTTTGACTGGCTGCCTGTCCTCAAAGTTACAGATTCATTCACGGCCAAGGAAAACTTAAAGCTGATTAACTCAGAGCGGGATAAACTGTGCCGCGCAGCCTGTAGGAATGAACACTGCTCCACTATTTCAATGATTGGCGGATTGTTTTAGGAAAGTTGGCCATTAAATTGGAGCACTGTGATATACTACTGTCTTTATCACTGTCTGAGTTGCTCCTTAATAGTTAATGACTGATTAGTTGATGAACCAGATAGTCTGGCTGTTAATTCTTCCTTATTAATCTTATATTGAGGGAAAACAAGTAGCTTAATCTTTAAAAGCTGGTAATATAATAACATATTATCACTGTTGTAAATTAAAGGTCACTATACTGTTATAAAAAGGACTGTAAAGTAGTAAGTACGGTACAGTGTGATGAGCATAAAGAGGCCATGAATATGGTTCTACTCAGATTTCCCTTCTGATTGGCCATCTTTTGTATTTTGATATGTCAACGAAAAATGGGTCTGCTTTTCAGATTCAGATTCAGATTGTTTTGTTGTCCCACAAGGGGAAATTTGCGTTGCAACAGGAGCACACAGAAGACAAGAAACACAAGGACAACATCACCATAAAACATAAACCAAAACAAATTTAAAAAATCAGACAACACGGCAAAATATAAAACCAAATAAAAACAGTGCAATAAAATCAGTCAAGAGCCCATACCAGAATGGAAATTCAAGTTATTAAAATGCGAAGTGGAGGTGTGCAAATGTGCAATTCAAGTGCAAAAAGAGCCTAATTGTTGTTTAACATATTAATTGCACTTGGTAAAAATGAGACCTGGAGTCTTTTAGTCTTCCTCACAGGAGCTTGATATACACAGATTAAAAATATTATTTCATGTTGATAATATGTAATGTTTTTCCAGTTTAAAAAAAAAAAACATGTATTCAATGTCTTTCAATGCTGCAACACAAAGAAACAGCCCACGTGACTCTGTTTTTTATGATCTGAAGCACATGAACTGGGTTAACAGGTTGGAGGCTAATGATACTAGTTTGAGGATTACGGCAACTGCGTGGGCGGGACCGCGTAGAGGAGGACGGGCGCGACGTGACGGACGTGACAGACGTGACAGCTGTGGTTGTTTGTTTGTTGTGAATGGACGTCGGCCTGTTAATCCTTTTTACGAGCCACACCTTAAGACACTTACTGCTCAGGATATCAAGAAAGCGGTTGTGTTTATGTCTGGCTGGATGTTTATACAGTAGCATACCTTAGAGAAAAAGCAACATAGCATAGTAGTGAGGTAGGATTTACAAGGCCAATTGTGTCAAATTAAACTGCATATATAGCCCAGGGCTATTTCTAATAATAGCTTGTAAATGTTTTTAATGTGGGGCTATTTATGAAATATTTAAAGTTTATTTTACTTTGTTCAGAAGCAAACATGTTTCTTTCCATTTTAAAACATTTGATTCATACAGATAAAGTTCATTTAATAAAGTTACTTAGCAGATTCAATGAATTGACAAAACCGTGCAGGCCTATGTATTTAAAATATATGTTGCATTGTTGAAAGCAAAAACACAACAAAAAAAAAACCATGTAAGCAGTTAAGTCAACCCTTCTGTATATTATGGAACTGGAAGGACTGTTTAAAGTGACATTTACAGAACAACAAACATTTTAAAATGACCTATTCATCAAATATTCTTCAACATCTTTTTTGAATGACTTTATCCACCATTGGGTGTTCCTGAAATAAACAGTGTAATATTGATTAACTTTATTATGTCGGGGTAACTTTGTGTTATTTTCTTAAATATAATTCTATATTTGGACAGAACACAATTTAATAAAGTAAAATGACAATTACATATTTTTTATTGGGCTACTCCAAAAAAATCCACTATCAAAAGGCAGGAAGTGGAAGTTTGACAGCTAATTTTAGTCATTTGTTCTCAATAGAGCAAACTCCCATGGTGTACTGTAGCCTACATGTAAACAAGCTGCAGAGTGTTTATCTGGAGAATAATCTGCACACAAACACACACACACACACACACACACACACAAACACGCACACACACACACACACACACAATTCTAGTAGCACAACAGTGGTTATTCTTGGTTATATTTTGGGTTAAGGATTTGTGAGAGGACCCATTCATAAATATAGTAGTAAACAAACACACACTCATACAGCCATTCATGGGATTCAGGAAATCCTGACCAATACTAGCCTTTACAGAAAGTACAGTGAGGATCCTCTGCACAATGTGCATTCTGGGGGATTAATTCCTGAACCAGTTTACTCAGTCGGTAAACACAAACAACTGACACTAATCCTTTACAGTACACAGGCAGACAGACAGACAGACAGACAGACAAAGTGCGCTGTTTTTGTGCAATTCAAGGAAATCTTGTCAACTCCATTCCTTGGTATAATTATCATTCCTTTGACATGATGTCTGTCACAGCAACAACTTGGGCTTGTAAGCATTGAAAACAAAGCAGTTTCTGTCCCATGCTATGAGGTCTCTTTCCTCCCATGATATAATTTGATAAAATGTCCCAAAAAAGCTGCTCTGGGGGATAAATAGCAGTGTTCTAATCGCACAAAAGCACAAGAGATGAATAGGGAAAATAGAAGCAGTGAAGACAGAAAAGAGAAGATGTTTTTTTGTCCCTCAGCGTGTCACTCAGTCAGTCACATGCTCAGCTGCCCTGCCTGACTGCCAGGCTCTGCTCTCTGACTGTAATCTCTGTTGGCCAGTCAGCGCAGGGAAAGGAGGGAGGGAAAAAAAGATGGAGGGCAGGAGAACTGCATTGCAATCTAGGTCGTCGACCAGTAATCCCACTGGCTGGAAGTACAGTATGTCGTGGGCACATGCTAACAAACGCTGAGCTCACCCAACTCCTCTTTTCCTCGCCCTATGTCCGGCCAAATTCTCCTCTCGTGACAAACGTCCCTCAGTTTGTCTTTGACTGCAAGACTCACATGCTCTGATGTTATCTACAAGAAATGCCTGACCCTGATGAAGACTGATAAGTAGGGCATTAAAATTACAACAATTAAGTCAGCTCCAGATGCCTTAATTTAATACGGTTTAGCAGCATTACTTTAAAGTGCTGCTCAGCAGGTGCTAAAAACAACAAGTCTGCCCTTAAATTTAAATTCTCAGTATTTCAGAATTTTAAAAAGACATGCTTTAAAATCAATTTTTCTGCCACTTGGATAGTAACTGAGGTACTGGGTTATTATTTATGGAGAAATACCCTTGAAATTGAGACTTAGACTGTTAATTCACTCATCACAACAGCATCCCTACATCACAGAATCACTTGGGGTGTTTTTTTTCCCCCTGATGACTCTTGTGCTCCTGGCTGTAGCATTGCAGGTAACCTGTGAAACTTGCAAACTACTACATACTGTCTACTTTCAAACTTGCTGCTGAGCCTGTGCGTAAAGTTGAAATGCTTAGTTAGTGGGTATTAACCCATGCCTTGCTTTGTGACCTTGTGACATCTGAGATTACCAGCACATTCTCTGGTCCGGGTGTGTTTGTGAAAGCTGTACCATGGTATGTCAGAAGCCATTATATTGACATTTGAACTCTACTGTGGAAGAAAGTTAGAAAATATTTATATAACTAAAGTCTTATGACGTCTACCTCATGTTGTAGGTATACATGAATTGAATGGTTTCAATGCATAATTAGACAGAGAGGCAAAGTAGGTTATCGTTCCGTCAGTTCTGCAAACAAACTTCATCTACTACATATTTGCTCTTCTTAACCTTGCCCCTGTGGTCACTCAACTCACAATTACATCAATCTAAATAAGGTGACTCTAGCCTCAGCACGGTGCAATGTTCAAAGTTTAATAGAAGTACCACTATCAGCTTGTACGATTATTAAAACCCATGTAACCCCTATACCAATAGTGGTTTACAGGTTTCCATTGAACTCATAAACATGGTATGACCTAGATTTTCTACTATGTATAGACCTAGGTGTAGCTAAAAAGACATGTTCAGTACTGATAACGAACAAAGACAATCCACACACAAGACAAGAGACAGAAGATGTATGATGACTGGGAACAAACAACTTTAATGAGTTTGACACGAGGCAGTGTAAAAAATATTCTGCATTTAAGCTCAAATGCTTTGCTGCCCTCTAGTGGTCAGACACAGCCCTGAAGACACTTTAAGAAGTGTGCTAAAAAAATCAAAATTGACATCTGTTGAAAAAAAAAGTCTTATCTCACTAAACCAAGTCGAAGTAGACATTAAGAACACAAGAGTCATAAATGCGATGTTTAGACTTTTTCAGCCACATGAGACCTCTGGTGGGCTTTCAAAACGTGTCTTTTCTTTTTTTCTGTTTGAAAGATAAAAATATCTCTGCAATGTACAATCAATTCAAAAACATTCAACATATAAAAGTGCAATTAAGTATTTGAAATATATTTACAAACGAAATCGCAGAGCATCATGGGAAATAGTGGGTACAGAGTAAGTGATGTAACTGCTGTGTGGGCTGCTGTAATAAGGAGCAGCTCTACAGTAAACTAGGGATGAGGGCTCCGACAACACATGGCTCCTCCTGACGGGTTTAATAGCTCCTGCAGCAATGAGTCCATGGTGCATGCTGCCCCCTGCTGAGCACACGGGGGAACTTCCAGCTGAAGTCTGCAGGAGGAGATGCTGCTCAGAGTCCCAGCTGAAGCTCCTCTTTGTCCCGACTCGCTGTTCCACCCTGACCGGCATGCTGCACAGAGGAGAAGCTGTAGGGCTCCGAGCAGAGGGGCTGTCTCTCTTCAGGAGGGATTCGATGGAGAAAGGGCTGCTGAACTTCACCTCACATCTGATCTGAACGGATCTGCAGGGGGAGAGGGGGACCGAGCAGCGCTCTGGTCCCCTGCTTGTGTTCTCAGTCTCCACTTTGGAGGCCAACTCAGGAAAAAACTGCAGGATCCCTTTGAAGTGACGACGCACCATCTTTGCTGTGATCTTACTGGTATCCAGCTTCCAGTAGTTTCTCTTACTGTCCAGTAAATCTGGGACCATTGGGATCTGGAAACAAAACACGATAGACAGCTGAGTTTTTACCCACAAATTCACAGATATTGTTTTTTGCCATTAAAACTACTGTGAAGACTAAAAATGGTGTATGGTTATTTCCAAAATCTACTTTTCATGCCTCGGACAACTGCTGGGCAGGGTAGGGGTCAGAAACTCCAGCAAGGCAGATCTCAATATCAAGACTCTGTAATAATCACTCACCTTGACAAAACAGGTGTTGGAGGATAAACAGACTCTGATGTTGTTCTCAACAGATCTTCTGTCTTCACAAATGAGTGGCATCAGCTTGTCCATCAACTGCAAAACACAAAGATGAAATTGGATTTAGAAGTTACAGAATTTATTAAACAGTCATTAAAAAAAAAACAACATACAAATTCAACGAAACGCTAACAACAAAGTCCAATAAATGCTCTTAAAACTCTTGGATACAAGTATGTCTCTAAAGACTTGATGAAAGTATATTTCAAATATATAGCCTTATGGCTCTGTCTCTACTAAAACTTGATAAACTGAAAATTCTGCAAAAACTGAAGATCTGTGAAAGCTCTTAAAAACTAGAGGGTGGGTAACATAAAATAAATCTCTTAAAACTCTATGTAAAGTACAAAAGAGGCTCTAAGAAATATATTTAAACTCCATCATTTATGTTAGTGGTTATGAGTCTTCTCTAACCTGACTGAACGTGAGCATCTTTCCTGGAGCGTCCTGGAGGACCACAGCTATCTTAGCCAGGTAGGTGGTGCTCTTCCTGAACAGACGTTGCTGGGAGCTGCTGGCCAGAGCAGAGGGAGGCAGCTTGGCTCCTAGATTCTCCATCTTGATTATGAAGGGTCAGAGGAGTCAGGTTCCACACTGAGCAGAGTGATCTTCAACTCCACTGAGAGGAGATATGCACCTGATGTGATCGGAGGAGGAGTTAAGTACTGTGGGGACAATGGGACGTTGGAGGGTGTGCACTGCAAGTTAATGAGGAGCTTTTGATAAGAATATGAGTCGTTACTGCTGGAGGTGGAGCCAGAGATCACAGTATCAGACCATTTCCAAAAGTTCATTAGCATGTGTATATAAATGTTCTGAGGGTCTAATCACCCTTTTTGTTCTCTTCTGCAGGAAAAAAGTTCAGTATTAACTTTAAATCAAAGCTTAACTAAGGAAATCCAAAGTAACAGACAGGTGAATAAGGATTCCAAACGTTTATGTTATTTAGCTTCAAACAGAGATACATATGAAAAAAAAAAAATGTCCTTACGTCTTAAAATGGTTACACCTCAGAAGGAAAACTAGATATCCAATCTTGACACTGCTTATCCTTCATATGTTTAATAATAGTTACTTTTTAAAAAAAAAGATTCAAGTTATATATTATAAATTACATTTAAATCCAATTCAAACAAGTTAAAATCAATCATCATTTGATGTAGAAGGAAAAGGATTAGCCCCTTACAAAAGACCAAAAGAGCGAACAGATAAAGCTCAGTCTTACAATCGAAAACTTAAAAAGAAAGCAGTTAAGCTTAACATGAAATATTAGCTCAAATTATTTACTCAACTTCACCTGATTTGGGTGGTTGGTGGGGCTTTAAAAAAAAACCAACTTTTTATACATAATTTAGTTTAAGCACAATTTACCTGTTTTGAAGAAGCTGTTCTCCAAAGCAAAGAACAAAGAAGTACAATACAAGCCACACTCAATCAAAAAGGTCTAGAAGAAGAAAAAGTTAGAGGTCGCACACATTTGAAGTTAAGGAGACCTACATTACAAATGTTCATCAGTTTCTCAGCCTCTTTCCATATTTTAAGGTTCATTCTACTCACGCTGGAGTTGTTGTCAGAGAGGAGCAGCAGACAAACTTCAGCTGATTCACAACCACCTTCAGGTGTGTGCTGTTCAGGGTCTCTCAGGATCTGCCAGTCTCCTCTCAAGCTACATTTTTTAGACTAAAAGTTTCAACTTTAGCTGCTGTGAAGTCTTATATTAAATAAGGACATTAAAAGAGTATGCATTATTCCTCCTGAAAAACTCTTTAGGGCTTCAAAGTAGTTATCAAAGAATTCAATTGAGCATTTGAAAATACAGATGAGGCTTCTGTTCCTTCAACTGTGCTTTAAGAGAAATCTAGGCATGTTGTTTTTCAGCCTCTTTCATGCTGTCCTGTTAATACACATTACACAGATGATTGATTCTGACATTCCAATGAGCAATCCAATCAAAAGAGAGCGGTTTGCATATCAGACCTGAAGCCCTTTGTCCCACATAATGACAAAGCTCATTTACATTAGTGATCCTCATTCAGATACAATGCTTTGAGAAGAAACAGGTTTAGAAGTGGGGCCAGGTGGAAGGTTGTGTATCAGCAAAGCAGATGAAATTATTTGATTGAAGCTGTTCTGGTGACAGATCCAGAAAGCAGGGGTGGGTGAACAACGAAGAAAGCAGTGAAGCTGATCTGAACTAGTAGATCCAGAGCTGAGCAGGCTTCAAGTTTTACTCAAGAAAACAAGTCTCAAAATATATAAATCATTATATATCATTGAACTGACCCATCATATAAGGAGGGCTTTATGCCCTGTTGATATTTATTTATTAGGATAAGCCCCTTGAGTTGACCATGTTGTTTTAAAGGGGTCCCAACATGACATGGAAACTGATTTGAACAATTAAAAAAGACAACTAAAATCAAACCCACTAAGATAAAACTGAGTAGTTGAGGACAAACATTAACAAAATGACTGCCGAAATGTCCAGCAGTATCAAAGGAAACAATATTGATGGATCCAATTATAATTATACGTCAATAAATATAAATACAAATATAGATTCTGTCATTTTAATGGTTGAGATTATACGAAAAAAAAGATGGATGGTGCACAACCAGTATAAGAGCAGTGTATAAGATTAAATGAGAGTTGGCCATCTCCTCACATAAAATAAAAAATAGAAGATAAGAATCCAGAGCAATATAATGTTGAGAGGTGTGCAGAGCAGATAACATCACCATTACAAGTCTGAGGTTATTTATATTTTAAATGTCATTTATATTGACGCTTAAACAAGGCAGTAAAGTGAAAGACAAAATAAAATAAGAAACTGATTTATTCAGTTTTCTCACTTCTGTTTTCAAAATCACATGAAGACACATGAAATATGTAATTCACTGAGGAGGGAGCGTTTGTTCTGTGAAATATATAAATGAGTGACAAGCCACATTAGATTTAAAGCTCTTGTTGTTTTGAAAAAATAGACAAGACATTTCAGAATTTGAAGCTCAGTGTACAGACACATGAAGAATTCAGGAATGTAAAAATTGAATGACAGATTCTTAAAAAAAAGTACACACCCTGGGGGGGGCCTTTCTTTAACCTGAACCTGAAAGAGGTTGTATAATTCGGAGCATGTTTACAAAAATACAGCTAAAGTGGGACTAACTCTTGTACTTGCATCCATTGTGTCACTTCTAATGACCTATTAAAGCGTCACATTCCAGTGATTATCACCTCTTTCTTCACTCTGGTTGACAGTGGGAGTGATTTAGCTGTTTGTGATGCCACATAAAGCTGGAACTACTAAATATTCATTATGTGATCTCCAAATGAGCCATCATCAACAGGCGTTCAAGTCAAAATGTTTCTTTTGATTCCAAACTGTTCATGAGCGTTATCTACTACTATAATACTAAAAACAAAATGAGCAAAACTGCATGTGGATATTTCTGTATAACATGAAGCACTGAAAGAATACTGACAAGCTTTTTGTCCATAACGACAACCTGTTTCAAGTAATACCTCTTACTTCTAATTTCTCCACTTTGATGCAGAACAGGATCCAAGGGCTTTAGATAAGATGAGACCAGATGAAAAAAGGTGCTAGTTCACTGCATGACTCATTGCTTATTTCCACATATACTGTCATTCTGGTACTTTAAATCTGCCACTATATTAAGTGAGAGGATACAGAATAAGACATTTGGCCACAACATGTTCACTGTTAACCACTTGACATTGATAAACTCATTCCAAAAATATACAACTTTTATAAGTAAAGGTAAGTTTACAAGTAAGTTTGTCAATAGAAGAGATTTTTTTATTCTCATTAAATGTACAACAACGGATGGAAGATGTAATCTGGTAATATGAGATTTGCCTATGAGGGAGATAAAATAAGGAAATTTAGATAAATTATCATAATACCGATTGTCTTCATAAATATTGAAGTAAAACTGTCTAATGATTTCAGACTACGGAACTGTTGCGTGAGTGTTTGGATTTCAGTAAAATCTCCTAGGATGTAAAGAATCTTTTGGGCAGCTTTACAGACCTGCTAATGACAGTTACAATGATCTCTGGCTCCACCTCCAGCAGTAACGACTCATATTCTTATCAAAAGCTCCTCATTAACTTGCAGTGCACACCCTCCAACGTCCCATTGTCCCCACAGTACTTAACTCCTCCTCCGATCACATCAGGTGCATATCTCCTCTCAGTGGAGTTGAGATCACTCTGCTCAGTGTGGAACCTGACTCCTCTGACCCTTCATAATCAAGATGGAGAATCTAGGAGCCAAGCTGCCTCCCTCTGCTCTGGCCAGCAGCTCCCAGCAACGTCTGTTCAGGAAGAGCACCACCTACCTGGCTAAGATAGCTGTGGTCCTCCAGGACGCTCCAGGAAAGATGCTCACGTTCAGTCAGGTTAGAGAAGACTCATAACCACTAACATAAATGATGGAGTTTAAATATATTTCTAAGAGCTTTAAGTAGATTCTCAATTGGGTTGTTACGAGTTTTAATATATCTCTTATAGAATTGAAGTAGAGCTTTTTAAAGCCTCAGCAGAGCTTTTAATACTTCGAGAAATAATCAAAAGAATATAATTCTTATGAAAAATCTTCTGTAATTGACATTATTGAGTTTTAAGAGCTTTATTCTGTAATCATTTGTTTTTTGAGAGCTTTCAAAGATTTGTTTTTCATGTTTCTGTAGAGCATAAACTGTCACAGAAGCTTTTATAGAGTATCGCTGGAGTTTTAATATCAGTCATTGAAATAAGTTTTTAGAGCTCCAATCAGGATCTCGTCTTTCTTTGAAAGAGTTTTCACAGAGCTTCCAGAGGTTACACAGCGCTCTTGAAGAGTTCTCATACTTGAGGGAACGGTTTATACAGCTATCATTGACCTCTAATTGGTTTTCAGCTTTCATAAAGTCATAGTATCAAGAGAGTTCTTAGAGACTTGGTTTTCCAAAAGGTTAACGGTTCAATTTGAATGGCCTTTTCTTTATTTTTAAGATTGGAAATTCTAAATCCAATTTCATCTTTGTGTTTTGCAGTTGATGGACAAGCTGATGCCACTCATTTGTGAAGACAGAAGATCTGTTGAGAACAACATCAGAGTCTGTTCATCCTCCAACACCAGTTTTGTCAAGGTGAGTGATTATTACAGAGTCTTGATATTGAGATCTCCCAATAAGAAACTATCTGTTTGTCTCGATGTTTGGGATCCCTGCAGTCAAAGCAATAAGTGTCGTCCTGCTTCTATCAGCAGTCAAATGTGTCAGTGAGAAGCGTTAATGAGGAGAATGTTAAAATGAATGTCTGCTTCTCTAAGTGTGCAGTTAGTGCTTTTTATCTGACCCCATTACAGCATCAATGGTTTTAGGCATGAAAAGTAGGAGTTTAAAATGCAGAAAAAACTATTCCTTTAATTTGTGGGTAAAACAACTCAGCTGTCTATCGTGTTTTGTTTCCAGATCCCAATGGTCCCAGATTTACTGGACAGTAAGAGAAACTACTGGAAGCTGGATACCAGTAAGATCACAGCAAAGATGGTGCGTCGTCACTTCAAAGGGATCCTGCAGTTTTTTCCTGAGTTGGCCTCCAAAGTGGAGACTGAGAACACAAGCAGGGGACCAGAGCGCTGCTCGGTCCCCCTCTCCCCCTGCAGATCCGTTCAGATCAGATGTGAGGTGAAGTTCAGCAGCCCTTTCTCCATCGAATCCCTCCTGAAGAGAGACAGCCCCTCTGCTCGGAGCCCTACAGCTTCTCCTCTGTGCAGCATGCCGGTCAGGGTGGAACAGCGAGTCGGGACAAAGAGGAGCTTCAGCTGGGACTCTGAGCAGCATCTCCTCCTGCAGACTTCAGCTGGAAGTTCCCCCGTGTGCTCAGCAGGGGGCAGCATGCACCATGGACTCATTGCTGCAGGAGCTATTAAACGTCAGGAGGAGCCATGTGTTGTCGGAGCCCTCATCCCTAGTTTACTGTAGAGCTGCTCCTTATTACAGCAGCCCACACAGCAGTTACATCACTTACTCTGTACCCACTATTTCCCATGATGCTCTGCGATTTCGTTTGTAAATATATTTCAAATACTTAATTGCACTTTTATATGTTGAATGTTTTTGAATTGATTGTACATTGCAGAGATATTTTTATCTTTCGAAAAAAGAGAGAAGAGAATAAAGGAAATAAGAAATAGAAATAAAGGCTGCACTGTAACTGGTCTCATGCGACTCAACATGATTACATATATTTATATATAATTTATGTATTATATCTTATATTATGGCTTAATTTGTTTGTAAATACTCTTATGGTCTTGTTTTGTACTCTTTTAATTGTACTGAGTTAATTTCTCTCAGCGCTCATCTCTAGTGTACACTAGAGCTGCTCCTTATTACTTTATGAAGCTCTGCATTTGAGTTTGTAATGTATCTGTACCTGACACAACAACACCTTCATTACACAATAAAAGATGAAAAAGCAAATTTGCAAGATTGCAAGTAGGCTTAAGCTTTGAGGGAATGAATATCGATGTTAATGCTCTCCAAAAGGAAGGAACATGATGTCATGATCTGGTTTGACTATCAAAATAAGTTATTTTGATTCTTTTGACTCATGCAGGGGGAATATGTATTTTGTGTGCGACACAACTGAAAAGCATTTCCGGGAGTCAAAAAGCAGATGCTTGTGTAAAAGTCACGTTTTCCTTGTAAGTGATAAAAATACACATATTAGCAACCTCTAAATATATAAATATACATTGCAAATAAGCATTCAAAAATAATAAGCTAAAGGGCCTATACCTCCCAGTAAATGGTAAATTGACTTGAACTTATAAAGTGCTTTTCTTTACACCACATGTCACACCTACACATTCACACAT